TGAGCCTAATTCAGACCAAGTATGAAGAGTTCTATCTCGTTGATACATCCTCAATTACTTGATAAATTGTTGCATAATGACACTTTTCTTTTGCATCATTAAGTCATTCAGTTTGTTTAGGACTTTGAGAAAAAAAAAGAATAAGATTTTTTGCATGTTTAATTAATTGAGCTACAGGTTTAAGACCTTTTAGTACACTTAACTATAGCGTATAAGCAGAACAAGCTAATCGTCTAATGCTATTTATTAATCTAATTGACTTCTTGATATTGGCACCATTGTCAGTTGTAATACAAAAAACTTTTCCAGTTAGTCCTCATTCAGTAATAACTTGGTCAAGTGAGCTTTTAATATTTTCGGCTATATGAGGTGATAGAATTGGTTTGATTGTTAATAAAGCCTCTCTTAATATAAAATTTAAATCAATCTATGTTGCCATGACTCCAATGTATCCTTTATTTGTTCTTGAACTCCACAAATCTGTGGTCAAATTAATAGATTCACCATCTACATTCATTATACCAAATAATTGGTCATGACTCCAATCATAAGCTTGATTAATCATTTTTTTTGTTTTTATTTCGTAGAGAATCTGAAATCCAGGTTCTAGATCATTTAGAAATCGACGAAAAGATTGACAACGCAAAATATTTAAAGGTTGACAATCTTCAATGATAAACTCAACCAAATCTTGCATCAGTCTTTTTTGTCGATGTTTAGTAATAATATACATGGCTTTAACAATTAGACCATCCATATTTATTCTATCAGAATAATCTTTATCAATTCGATACTTGGACCAGAGATGGCCAAGCATGTTTCTGGTTAAAGAGTTATGTACATATTTGATTGTAATATTCTTTTCTTTACATAATTGACAGACATCAAAAAAACCTTCTTCTATCTCTTCAGTTTTAAAATAGTTCTATACAATACTATAATTATCTTGCTTTTTTCTTTTTTTTGTTTTTTTTTTTCATCTTTAGAAGGTTTATCATTTATAGGCAATTCATTATTTATAGACAATTCATCATTCGTAGGCGATTCATCATTTGTAGACGATTCATCATTCATAGGCGATTCATTATTCGTAGGCGATTCATAATTCATAGATAGTTCATCATTTCTAAATAAGTCTCTATATACTGAAGAATAAGCATCGTCTTCATCTATGTAATAATCAGACATAATAAAGTTTTTATTTTGTCTTTCTTAATTTAAGTTGGCTTTTTAAAATATGATTTATAATTATTTCTGATAGTAAATATCATCATTTTGATTTAAAAAAATTATACTTTTTTGTTCTTATATACTTGGCAGTTGTTTTTTTTTTTTTTTTCCAGCAATATTAATAGTAATTAACAGCTGGTGGACTACAGCTAATAGACTACAACTGATAGGCTATAGCAGGTAAACTATGAACAGTAAACTACAACCGATAGATAACTAGAAGAAACTGCACTGAACTAATAGACAACTGCTAGTAGAAATAATAACTAGAGCAGAGTTTTTAAGACAAAAACGATTTTTATTTTGCCATGTTCTAACAAAAAAAAAAATAGTATAACAATTAACCTTTTAAATACTAATCAGGAGTCGAATCTTCTCATTGATAGTTGTAACAAGTTACAACATAAGCTTTAGCTAGTTACGGCTTAACCTGTAACTTTATTAAGATGATTTGCCTGCCCTGCTTCACTAATCAGAAATATGAGCTTGAATATGTATGCCCTATATAAAACTTTTTTCATGCATTAATCACAGTGCATATACTTTTAGCTTTTTATTACAAACTATTATTATAACTAGATACCCAGGTTAATTAAATTTTTTTTATAACTGGATACTTGAATATTTATTTATATCTGTTTATTAACTGGATACCTATCTATTATATTAAAACCCAGTTTTACAAAACTATAACCTGATTGGAAAATTTCAGTTTAGATAATAGGTTATATGGTTAACCAAATAGTAGGTTGGAACACTAAGTATATATACTATTTTTACTTTCAGATATTTAAGCTATCAGAATAGTGTTATTTTATATACTTTATGTAGCACCTCTCTTAATATAAGTTTAAATTCTTTTCTGTCTGTTAGTTCTTTATATGAATACAACTTCTCTTTGATTGCTATTACTATTACTTAGTATATATACCATTTTTACTTTCAAATATTTAAGCTGTCAAAATAGTGTCATTTTATATACTCTATGTGGCATCTCTCTTAATATAAGTTTAAATTCTTTTCTGTTCGTTAGTTCTTTGATATTGAATCTACCTTCTATTATTCTTGCAGCTTTTCCTTCTTTATAATATAGTACCTAGATATTTTGAAGAAGCTGTTTTTTTTCCTCGTTTTTGTATCTGATTTCTATATATA